TATTAATATTAATATTAATATATTAATATATATATATATATATATATATGAAAAATCCGTTAAATCCGTTAAATCGAGATAAATAATTATAGAAAGATTTTGTTTTGAAAATTTATCCGTTAAACCCCTATAAATCCGCTAAATCGAGACACACTGTGTATACAACACAGAGAGAAATCAAGCCGTACTATAACCATTGTAAAACCAAATCACTATTCCTCCTCCATTTTCAAAGACATAGGTATGAAAAGATGATAGATAGCGTGTAGATTAGAGCTACGGATAGGGGTTTTTTGTTTTATTGTGAAACCTTCGAAAAAAGTGGTCTATATTCAAAATGTGCAGGCCCAGGAACCAAATGAGGCAGAGCAAAAAATTCTTCATAGCTTTGTTCACCAATACTAATGCTTTAGCAATAATTTTTATTTATTTTATTATTGAGACTCTCATTTACTTGTAAAATTTCTTTTAAGATTAATCAATTTTACAACTCAAGCAAATAAGATATGATAAACAAATTATTTAGCCATAGTCAGTGTTGTGACCCGAAACTCTGAGTTTAGGGAAAACCCAAAACAGAAACTAACAGAAACCACCCGAAACTAGTTTAGGTTAGTAGTTTATGTTTAGGTTTATGTTTACTTTTAGTTTTCTGCTTAGTGTAAGTTCATTTTCCGAAACGTTTCGGGAAGTCAAAAGAGTTTCTGGTCACAACACTGGCCATAGTATATAAAAAATGTTTTACTGCTACTTTTTTTTTTATCATTTTTTTTTTGGCTCACTTCTTATATTAAAACAACATAATTTACATAGAAGAAATGTTTACAATGAAGTTGTAAAAAGTAAAAAAACAAAAATATGAATAATTATCTCTTAAACGGTCAGAGGTATTCTTTAATGGTAGCACAAATTAAAAATTTGATCATTCTTATTGGTCAATTTAACGATCAGCAAAGTAAAAACAGCCAATCGACCAACTTTAAAGAAGATTTTACAAAAACCATAAGGACAACAACTGGATTTTTATTTATAGATTAATCGGCTGAATCTCAAAGATCATTTTCGTATTAGAAAGTGATGCCCTCAGAAAAAATTTTTTATATCAGAAAAATTTTATCGGCTATCAATAGCCGATTAACCGTTTAGGGGATAGTTAAAAATTTTACTTTAATAAAGAATTTTTTTTTTTTGATTTTAACTTTCGCCAAGGGTTTTTACTTTCGCCAAGGATTTAGTCTTTCGTCATTTTTTATTACATTTGACGAAATAGTTTCTCAACTCCAAAAACATTTCGTCATGCATCATTAGACCAGGGTGCAAATCCTATCATAAAATTCCAGGCATTCTGTTAAAATTTAGAATGTCAATAAAATTTTTGGAAATAGGCCATTTTCCAATTACACATTTTTAATATTAATATTGATACAAATTCTTTATTTGAATTATTCGTTTTATTCGTTTTATTTGAATTATCCGTTTTATTCGTTTTGTTTGAATTATTCGTTTTATAAAATATTAATTCACAGCTTGATGCAACAAATTCTATATTAATATTAATATTATTGTTGAGGGATTTAACTATTTGTAAAATTATAAATAAATTACAGCAATTA